ATGTGCAGTAACATTTATTAAAACCCGATATACAGGGTGATATTCTAGCCAAGAGGAGTAAAATAAAAAAAGAGAGTCCGGTCCTGGAATTTTTTTAAACTAAATTATGGTTTTTATTAACCTAAGAAAGTGTAACTTTAGTATTAAATTTTATCAAAATAACTCTAGCCGTTCAAACAAAATGGCCGATTTTAGTTTTGGCAAAAAATCATAAAACACCCTATATCTCAGAAACGAGTAAGATTAAAGGCTAAGTATAGGGGTGTTTTGAACTCAGCCAAGTGTACTCTACCTCCCTTTAAGCTGTGTCCGTTTAAATCTGAAACACCCAGGATAAAAGGGAAAAACCGAATTAATATTTAAATGGCCGGGCTGCGCGGTGGAGATTTGCAAATTCCATAATGCGAAATCCAAAAATAGTGTAATGTAAGATATTTTCGGATGCCACAAAATATGGATAAATTCTTCTCGAAGAAAGGACACACTTAATTTAAACAATAATGGTTAGTAAAATACACAAGTGTAATAGGTTTAGAGACAGTGAAAAGTTGCTAAAATAAAAAATATATAAATACTTTTTATTTTAGCATGAAGTTGCCCTATCCACTTTGAGGAAAGTAGTAAACATAGACGCAAGAGAAGAATACTGAATTCCACCAGGTGCATGGGGCCTCATTAAGCAAAGAAAATAGGTATTTTAAAATTTTAGCAGATAAAACAGTAGTTTCCTGTCCCAATACAACGGTCCCTTTTTAAGAAATACTATGCAAGAGCAGGACAGGAACATATATAAGAATAAGATACATGAATAGAAAAATTGGTTTTGAATATTTTCAAAGTAAATTTGACAAAAAAATGTTTAAATTTACCAAATAAAAAATTATTTTTTGTGTACTTAATTACTTTTTATAAATAAATAATTTGTTTCTGCATACTAAGAAAATAAATTTTAAGAGAACTACCATTCCCAGAAAGTACAAATTTCAGTCAAACTTATATTTTTAGTCTATATTTTTTATTTATCTTATTCAGGTTATGGATTTTGTCACAAAATACTTAGAATTTATGAGAAAAATTATTATTTTTATTAGTATTATTTACCTTAAACCTTAATACAAATATTATTTGTAAACGAATATATTACAAAATAACCAATAAAGCTTAAGTAACTGCATAAAATCTAAAACCGGCGAAATATCGAATTTCAAACACTATTTCCCATTTAATACTAACAATTCTGTCCCACGTGACGTCACCGTCATTCAGCTAAATGCGCAGGAACATACCGTTAGTCTGTGTATTGTATTGTTTGCAGTTCTATACATAGATCGTGAAGTAACTCTGTAATATTTATTGGTTTAGGAAACTGAACATACTTTTCGCGACTGATGCGCCATCTTGCATAGAAAATATTGATTACCATGGTATCCAAACGTAAAAGAGGACCGTTAGGGGCAGCACCTCCCTGTGCTCTCTGAAATTTTTAGTAATGTTCAATTTTAGAAAAAACTACTTACTTTTCTCAAAAATGGTAAATACACAAATTGTTCAGTGGCAAATGAAGAATGGCGGATGATAACATTTATACGTATATGACTTTTTTTATATTTTTTTTATGTTTATAAAAAAAAAGTTATCATGTGTCAATCTACGATGCATAAGAAGCTCGGATACAAAAATTTTTTTTTTTGGTGAGTATTAAGCCCGCAATTTGAACATTAACGTTTTCAATATGGCGGACGGGTATAGAACCCTCTTAAGTCATATTCTGCTTCCGAAAAATTAATCCATTTCGCAGAAGGGTTGCTACAGCTAGGTGACTCCTGATTAATTTAAAATGACCTTTAAACAATTTAAAAAAAAAATATCCAATTCCCTCCGACGCTCATGAACAGAAACCAACCAATTAACGAACTCAACTTTGCCTCTGCAGATGCAATATTATCGACGTTGCATTTTCTATATGATGTGTGACTCAAATGTGCCCATTTTATTGTATGGCACCAAATGTGATAAAAAACGACAGACACATGGCAACTGGCAACGTGTAAACAAACTGATCAACGTTACGAGACCTAGCTGTGTTGTCAATGTGAAGTAAATTACTTATAAATTATTTTTATAATGGTCTCTATATTTTTATGTTTTTACATTCAAATAAGGTATCTAAAAATTTAAGTTTTGTAATTTACAAATAATGAAATTTTCTTAAGTATTGTACATTATTTTATAATGCAAGAAATTCTTCTCTCCATTATTTTGAAAACGTAGTATAGTACTGATAGGATGATTCTATTTACAAAGAATGGGATAAATATCATATATAGGGGACCGCTAATTAATGGTACTCAGCAAAACTATAGATTCTTTGTATAAAAATATTTAACCTAACTTACCTTAGTCCAAAAGTTGATTATAACCAAAATACAGGATCTTAAAGTTGAAAATTCAAATACCTTTTATTAATGTCTATAAATTTTTTATTTCTCAATATAATTTTACTAAATTCAGTAAAAAATTTTAGTATCATGAGATACACCTAACAGTAGACCAATCAATTAAAGAAACTAGTGGCGTACGGCATGAATAAGTAACACCTTCATCCCCTCTAAATTTTACGCCACTGCCTAAAAACTTATTTGGACTATAGTTTTACATTTTTTGATATTTTTTTAAATAATTTATCTCCACTGGCAAAGCATATTTAAATATTTTTTTGCTGATAGCTGTATCTTAAATTCCAAAATTATAAAATTATAAAATTATAAATAAAGTAAAATGAAGAACCTTTGAGTGTGAATATCTTGAAAACCAATCACTTCATGAGTTCCCAATAAGAATACAGGAATTATTTAAAAACTATCAAAAAATATAAAAGCAGAGTCTAAATATAGCAATTAAAAATTGTTAATGTTCAACTTTAACACCCTATATTTCGGCTATTATCAACTTTTGGACTAAGGTTAGATGGGTTAGATAGCAGAGCTGGGACGAATCCTGGAAAAATGGATTCGAATCACGAATCCAAATCACGAGATGTGATTCGAATCACGGATCCAATGTTCGAATCCTTTTTCAAAAAAAAAAAAGGATTCGAATCAAGTGATTCGAATCCTTTTTTTCGGATCACGGATACGAATCACTGTCAGTGTTATACTGTGGTATTAATTATATTTGCTTTCGAATCTAATACTGTTTTATATCTCGGTATTCTGTAAAATGAGTTTTGAACCGTAAATAAATAAAAACATTTAAAACTTGAAGCTGAAAAACGAAGCTGGCTGTCACATTTAGCATATAGGCGATTACCTAAGTGACGCGCTCTACTGACTACATACTCGTATGAGTATAAAAATTGTTTAAACTTTACTTAAGTTTCCTTGTAAATATAAAAAACTCTAGTTGATTGCCGTTATTTATAGATTTTTCACAAGAATCACTAATTTTTAATTATGTTGTTAGAAGTTAAAAGAATTAACTTCAAAATTATTGTTTTTAAATGATTTAGGACCCTTTATACTATAACATCTTGTATAGCCACTTCATAAAACACGTGTTAACATGGTTTTATAACGTTTTATTAAATATCTCGTAAACAATGTTTGAAATGTAATTAATTAAGGAACAAAATAAAGAATGTCTTTAAAGGGCATAAGGCCTATCACTTCATCACGTTCGGCTGGTCGAAAGTCAAGTCCCCGCTCTCTCCTGGTCCTGGACACTGAAACGGGTAGACCTGGTATTGTCGACCCCAGGGGCGGCGATATCCTAATTCGCTGACTCTAACAGACACTCCAACGGGCAGACGTGGTGCCGTCGACCCCAGTGGCGGCGATATCCTAATTCGCTGACTCTAACAATATTTTATATTAATAACTAAAACTCATTTCAAATAATAAAAAAAATAGTCAACTTGACATTAAGTAATGAATTGTAATTGATAGAAAACATAGAATGGATATAATTATATATTATATTCGTTCAATAGACTAATATCGCCCACATATTTATTTTGTATATCGTTCAAAAATTAGAAAAATAAATAATATACCTACATGGGGATGTGGATGCAGAATTTGTTTCCACTTACCTGCATTGAGGATCTATATCAGATTATTTGTTAATTCTGTAATCGTGCACAACGCCAAACACATCGGTTTTCTATTCAGTCTCAGTCTGTTTTAGTTTTTAGTTTACAATTCGTGACAAGTCAAAGCTTGAGTCGGCCGTTCGCGCCGGCGTAGTTTGGTCTCTAAAAGGATCCGAGACTGATATTGATGATTCGAATACGAATCCTTTAGGATTTTCTCTGCGAATCCGGATCACGGATCCTTTTTTTCTAAAGTATTCGAATCCCGCTCTCGGATCCTCAAAAAGGATTCGAATCCTGGATTCGAATCCTATGTGATTCGAATCCTTCCCAGCTCTGTTAGATAGCAATATTTTTACCCAAAAAATTTGCAGTTTTCCTGTGTACCATTAATTAACGGACACCCAGTCAGTATAAGTTGTTCCAACAGCGGTACAGAACCGTTCTGAATTTGTGTGCATAAATGTAGTATGATTTAAATGTTCCAACAAAAATTCCGAACAATTTATAATTTATAATTTGTTCCAACAATTGAATATATGTCGAAACAACAAAAATGTCGAAGTAACACAACAAAAAATAACCAAAGAAAGTATAGGGATAATCACTAAATAATTACAAAAACACTATGAACTCTTAAATCTTAGGCAACCAATGACGCATATTTGCGATTTTCTCCAAATATTCTGTATTGCGCACGCGTTATAACACCTGTAAATATCTCACATTTAACATTTTTTTATTAGGTAATAGGTAAGTTCCACTGGATAATGTCATTATACCTATTTTCTTACAAAGACTTGAATAGGTCAATATTATTGGTTAATAATTGATTATCTCTGTCGTACGATATTGAAAAAACATTGTTGAAAACAAAGGAAAATAAACAAATAATTTGGATAATACTCACTTTTTCGATCAATTTTGGTCAAGTTATCTAGTTCTTCGACTAAGACTTTTCTTGTTTTCATTTTATCTAATTCTCTTTTGTAATGCTTAATCATAACTTCCATTAATTTGATCTTCATCAATATAGCCATTTTAAGGGTAGATATCTTATCAATTTTCTTAATACTAACATACAGCCTTGTTTCTTCCAGAACCTGAAATAAAGAAATCATTATGATTTTAGTTGTTATAAAATTGCTGAGAAATTAGACAGACAGGGGTTATAAGTCACGCCCTAATCACTAACATTTTTTGATGTTAAAATTACGTTTTGTTTTAGCCTCTGATTCGTTCAAAATTTGGTATATTTTAATATATCTTAGTTTTCTATTTTTTGGAAAAATTAAATGAAATAAATGGTGCGGTACGTCTTTAAATACTCATCTTTTTATTCAACTTCAACGAGATTTTTAGTTTTATGCCTTTGGTGATGGTGATCAATATTCTCCTTAACTTTCGACTTCATTTATACGCCAGATCATCAAAAGTTACAAGGTATTTTGTAACGCTTTTATTTACAAGAAGTAATGAAAGATTACAGATTTAACAACTCTTACATATTATGGAACTGCGTGTGCGCCTTTTTTGGGTATTTGGACAATACTTAAGTTAGCTGATGAGATGGAAAGGATTATCCCGTGAGCAGCACATGCTCTATGCCATAACACTTTTATTCATGATGTCGTCACAGGAACCTCAAGTTTTAAGGAAGCTCTGTAATTGCAACGTCAACTGATTTAGGTGATTCGCTGTGGTCATTTTCTTTTACGCAAATAATGATCAATCATTTTTAGTTCACTTATCTGCTGAAACAATGCTCAACAATCCTCATTATTTTGATCAGGACTGTGATAGTGTTCAAAATATTTTGGGATTTCAATGGAATCCATAAATAGTCACTTGCTTCAAAGGCTGCCATGGAGTTTTAAAGGTAGGATAGGGAGCGTTCAAGTATTACGTAACGAATTTGGGGAGGGGGTTTTGTAAAACGTTACGATGCGTTACAGGGGCGGGAGGGGGAGTTGAACTTCCCGTTACGTAACATTATTATTTTTTAACCCTTCAGAAAAGTCGCGTATTTTAGCGACTTTCCGGTACTTTACGCCACATAACTGCGATTTTTAGATAAAAATAGTCACTTGGTAGTTACGTAACGTTTTACTAGGGGGGGAAGGGTACAGAAAAACGTTGCGGCGCGTTACATTGGGGGGGAGGGGTGGTTAAAAATCTCCAAACATTGCGTTACGTAATACTTGAACGCTCCCATAGCGGGCAGCGCGAGTAGCAGTGGCAGTAGCTGCATTAAAGCATAGGGACAGTGTAATGTTTATAATATATGTTTATCGATTTGATTTTTTTTGTTTTTTATTTTTTGTTTTTTTTTTTGTTTTTCGTTTGTTTTTTGCTTTTCTGTTGTTTTTTTTTTATGAAAATATTTATCGACTTCGATTTGAGGCATTTTTAACCCAGCGTATTCATACCATGGTTTTTAAAGTGGGTATAATTTAGTTAATTGACACATTATAAACGGTAAGTTGATGACCTTTACATGTAATTTTATACATAGATTTCATAATCATTTTTTCAGAAAAATTATTATTTTTCAGCGATAAGTGAAAACAACAACTTATTCCTGGTATTGAAAGTTAAAGTAATTTAATATTCACAAGATGAACCAATGTCTGGTCCATCTACAAAAGAAGCAGAACAGATTTTTCCAGCTTCTTTAGGGCCTTATCAATTGCACAAATATTGTAATGGGCATAATACAATAAGGCATCCATGTGCTTAATTATCTCCAGTACTATATGGACAATCCACTCGAGTGGTACAGTATTTTTTCTACGACCCACTAACGAAAATTTACAAGTTTAAAATAATTTATTAATTTTACTAATTTATAAAATAAAATAAATATGAAAAATGATTAGTTTAATTAGTCCCCAACCCAGATTCGAACCTGGGCAGTTTGCATGTAAGACAGAAGCCCTGTCCTTAGCTCCACCGCCGCTTTTACGATTTTAGTTTTAATACTCGTAATTAAATTAGTCTCTTGAATAATTTTTTTTTTAATTTTGACCAAATAAAAATAAAAATGCTATTATTTCTATCGAAATAAGTACAAAGAGTATAAGTCAGATTTTCTTGATTTCGGGTTTTTTTTTACTATAGTTCATGTTTATCATCTAAGTATATGCCCTAAGCGTACAAGTCAATGCTGAGTATTTTTTACTAACGGTTTAGCATTGAACCTTTCAGTACAAGTCAAGTTCCATATTATCTGGTTTGTGAGCTTGATTTTTTTTCTCACCTAAAGTTTAAGTACGTAATAGTGTTTCCAGTGAATTGTTGTATTATTATTTTTCGTGGTTTAGAGCAGGCAAGATGGCTTCTTGGAGCAGAGGCAAAAAAATGGTAGATATATGCAATAACATAAACAATACTGAAACTGAAAGTAAGTAGATTGTTTTTCACTACCTAAAACATTTTTTAAAATACTTCCAAAATCAAGTTTTGTTAACTCATTTAACAAACAAACTTTTATTTTATTTTCAGATAAAAAATTGTATAGAGCATAATGTCAGTATTACTCATGGGTTTACTGAGAATGTTATTGTCGATGATCATGCAGGTGAGTTAGTAAATAAGGGATTAATACATTTCAAAAGTATTTTTTATTTTTCTTGCGAAAACAAAAGTGAAATCAAAATTAATCTGAGTTCAAAATATTTTGTTTTTTCAAGAACAATACATGATCCAAAATGAAAAAGACTTCTTGGGGAATCTTTACCTGTCAACGACTGGGGATATTAATCAATTAATTTTTTGCAATGATGATGAGGCTGGTCCAAGTAACATTTCGGGACAGCAAAAAGTTTACCTTGGTAAGACTTGATTTTCTGATAATTTTCTAGCCCCATGAGCCCAAAATAATATGTAGCTTAAAACATGAAACTATATATTTTACAGATTTGTACCATCAACAGAGTACTGTCTATGATGAAGTCCAACACACTCAACTAGTACAAGACATGGAAATAGCTTAAAGTGTTGGTTAAGAAACTGACGAAGGTAAGCATTTATCTCTATAGGCAAAAGAGGCTCAGAAAATGCAACAAGTATCCTTACTGTCTATTTTTTCCAACTTAAAACGTTAAATTGTCTGTATCTTTTACAGACTTGGACCATCAACAGAGTACTGTCTATGATGAAGACCAACACACTCAACTAGTACAAGACATGGAAATCGCTGAAAGTTTTGGTCAAGAAACTGACGAAGGTAAGCATTTATTTTTGTAGATAATTGAGGCTCAGAAAATGTAACAAGTAATCTAACTGTCTATTTTTTTCAGATTATAACCCTGAACAGGAGAGTATTTCCTCTGATGAAGAAGTTTTCCATCAAACACGGAGTTCTAGCTCTAAAATACGAAATAGATCGAAGGAACCACATTTAGAACAAAATGTAATCCAAGCTACAGCTACTGACAGAAAATTTTCCAAAAGAAGAAGAATAGAAAAATATAAAAATCAAAATGCTGGGAAGAGCTATGAAACTCTTGACGGAAAAGTAAAACCGGCAAGGGCAATGACAGCTTTGACAGTTTGCCGCGCCAAGTGTATGGAACGTATCCCCCCTGAGATCCAGGAAGTTATTTTTAAAGAATATTGGAGCCTCGGAAGTCGGGATGAAAGAACAAAATTCGTTGCTAATTTAGTTTAATCAACTGAGCCTAAAGTTATTCGGAAACGAACCGATGATCCTGACAAAGAAAAATTTAGACAGTACACCAACACATTTTATTTTAAAATTATTGGGAAACTGTCTAAAGTTTGCCGAGGTTGCTTTCAGAAAACTTTAGGAGAAACAAACATGCTCTTGACAATTGCTATTGCGCCTGCTCAAAGATCAACCACAGGTATTTTGGTTTGGCGGAACTAATACAGAGACCTCAGAAAAACTTCAGGAAACCTGCAACAGAATTAATCGATGGACAAAAAAATGGAAAATAAAAATAAATCAAACTAAATCAGTGCATGTTGATTTTACTCTTCGACCAAATGAACAAAAACAAATAAGAATAAACAATGACGTTATTCCGCATCACGATTCGGCCAAATACCTAGGGATGAACCTAGATGTAAAACTTAAATGGAAAGAGCACATAAAAAAAAGCGTAAAGAACTTGAACTTAAATTCAAAAAAATGTATTGGCTCCTAGGAAGACAATCCAAATTGACAGTGCACAACAAACTGCTGATTTATAAACAAATCCTAAAACCAATCTGGATTTATGGCATACAGCTATGGGGATGTGCCAGCAAGAGTAATACCAACATGATTCAAGTTTTCCAAAATAAAGTCCTAAGATGTATTGTTGATGCACCTTGGTTCTACCGAAACGATTATCTTCACAGAGACCTGAAGATGCCAACAATCGAAGAAGAAATAAAGAGGTTTGCTGCGAAACATGAGGGTCGACTCCACTCCCACGTCAACGAAGAAGCGCTGCAATTACTGGACAACTCTAAGTCAACAGAAGGCTCAAAAGGAAGAAGCCATTTGAGCTAGTGCAGTGAACGTTAATGTTAGTGCTAGTGTAAAACAGTGTAATAAACCTTCACGCCAACTTGTGATGCTTTACTATAGAAACAATTAAGACAGCCCAATGGGGACTTCTTAGATAAGTAATTAGTTTGTAAGATTTTTAGATTAAAATTGTAGGTTAGTCAGTAATGACTAGTAACAATACTCTAACAAAAAAAAAAAGGTATTTTGGAACCCAGTAAAAGAGGTAAAGACTCGCCTACTAATAAACTTTCAGACAACACCATTCGAGCAATTCATAATTACATAAAATCCTTCTCCGCCTATAAATCCCACTATGACAGAAAAAAAAGCAAAAAAAAAATATTATTTACCTGCTTACCTAAACTTGACAAAAATGTATGCACTCTATGTGGAACATGTTACAAACCCTGCCTCTAAATCAATTTATAAGCGTGAGTTTAAAACACTCAACATTTCATTCAAAGGGCCAAAAGCAGATACTTGTCACAAGTGTGATATACTTTCTATGAAAGAAAGAGTAGCAAAGTCAGAAGATAAGTTAAAGTCTATACAAGATAAGAAAACTAAACATCAAGATGAGGCAGATTTGTTATACAGGGTGATTCATAACTATTGGGACATAGGCTAAGGGCAGGTTATTTGGACCAAAATATGGCGATTGGACCAAATATACCTTTATAAAATATGGCTGTGGAATAAGATACAGGGCGTTAAAAAATGCAACAATAGACTATAATCTCATAGCAAAAATAATTCATTGGCAAGAACTGATATTTACCAGACACAATTATCTGATAGTCCAAAGCACTCTTTTCGTAAATAAAATATTTTTTGAAATATCCTTCTGAGACTTTGAACTGTTCAATTGCGTTTTTCTCGAAAACAGGTGAAATTATCGTGATTAAACAGGAGTACCAATATTACGTAGAAATGATGTTTATGTAATATTTTCTAATAAAAATCACTAAAAAGTTTCGGCAAAAAACTTACCACTTAATTTCATCATCAGGAATCATTCTCGTGGCGCCCCCTGTAAAAAAATGTGAAATAATACATAAAATAATATCCCTTGTCCAAAGATGCCTTTGAGCCGATTTTGATAACAATTCATAAATATACAGTGAGATTATAAAAAAAAACGAAAAAAAAAATTCAACTTTAACGCCCTGTATCTTATTCCACAACCATATTTTATTAAGGTATATTTGGTCCTATCGCCATATTTTGATCTAAATAACCTGCCCTTAATCTATGTCCCAATAGTTATGAATCACCCTGTATACTAAAAAGCGAAAGGACAAACAACGTGCTAAGGAGGACAACACCATTAAATGTTAGGCATTTGACCTCCAACAGTGCCTGCCAACACCCTACTTAAATACATATCGGTGGCATTCTATAAACGCCAACTGTGAACGTTCAACCTAACTTTCCATGAAACGACAACAGGGGATGTAACTTGCTGCATGTGGCATGAGGCCGAAGGTGGAAGAGGAGCCAACCAAATCGCCACATGTATTTTTAAACAACTATCAAGTGTGCCACAACAAATCAAAAAAGTCATTTGATATTCAGATTCATGTGGGGGCCAAAACAGAAATTCACATGTCTCAGCAATGTTTTTAACGCTTTTGTAGCAATGTCCTCATCTGGAGCAAATAGACCACAAGTTTATGGTCAGTGGTCATAGCTACCTTGAATGTGATGTTGATCATGGGATGATAAAGAAACCAAAAAAACATCTACAGATGCAAATTTCAGTTCCCCACGATTGGTACCAGTTAGTACGAGCTACTGGAAAAAAGAAAAAGTTTCAAGTAGTGAAAATAAACCACAAAGATTTCGTAAACTATTCCGACCTACATAAAAGCCATCTTAAACTAAAACAAAAAGATAGCAATGGTAACTCCTTCAAGTGGACAGAGCTGCGGTGGCTAAGGTACCGTCAAGGATTTCCAAAAAATATTTTTTTCAAGTCTTCACTAGACGAAAGGGAAGAATTTCGATGTACGAATTTAGAAGGAAGGATATCACAAGATACACCCTTAAATCCGCTACCTTGCTATACATCTTCATTAGTAATTTTTAATGAAAAAAAGAAAGATATCTTGGCTCTTCTGGATTTACTAAGTCCAGACTTTCACGATTTTTATAAAAATCTGAAAACTACTAACAATGCCAAAAGCACATTGCCCGACCTAGTGGAAGAAGAAGATGAAGAGCTAGAATAAAATTTTGTTTTCGAATTTCAGCTTAAAATAGCTATCTCCTATAATTTTTGTTCATATTTTTAATAAAAAATAATTCAAACCTGTTTATTTTTGTATAAAAAACTGTAGTTAATAAGTAGATAGATTATGAAAATCAAACGAGATTAAGAGTATAAGTCAATGATGGTAGAAAATCCTAACAGTATAAGCCACCGATTTTCATATTTTTTTTTTTTTGTTTAATAACTTTCAATGAAATAAAACATATTTGTCTTGAGGAAAACGTATAATAAATTACCTATCAATTTTATGCATACAAGGGAAAGATATTGTAATGTCAGCCATTTCATTATTCAGTCATGCTCTAATACTCCAAGAAGATGTAGCTGGTGAAGATTATGTGATCCAGTTACGAAGAAGAATGGACGACATGCATGAATTAGTTCGCTCGCATCTCCAAATAGCCAGCGACAGGATGAAGAAACGGTACGATACTCAAGCTACGGAGGATGTTTCAAGGAAGGCGAAAAAGTCTGGCTCCATAACCCAAAAAGACAAAAGGGTTATTCTCCGAAGCTTCAAAGGTCTTGGAAAGGTCCGTGCCTCATCAAGAATAAAATAAATGATTTACCGTATAATTAAGATCCCAAACGGTAAACCGAAGGTAGTTCACCAAAACCGGCTGGCTCCATTTGAGGGTGACCATGAAGAAGAAGTAAATCAACTTCGAGAAACACCTGACCTTGTCTTTGAAGAATTTATAGGTGCGTATGGAGGTATTGGAAAAGCCAAATATGGTGTTACGACCGAGCAACAACAAGATCTGCTCTCACTTCCGAAAGACTACTCGTTGGTTCATAGTACTTCCGCCACCATCAACGACGCGCGAGGACTGGCATATGTGTTCCGTAAGAAGTTTTTATCGACTGGTAGAACTTCAATATCAGTTACCAGCCCCTGGAAAAGCCTTGAAACTTCAAGACGGGTCGCGTTATCTTTTCTATTTAATAACGAAGAACACCTTCCAAGACCGATCCACCTATCAGGATGTATGGGAAGCATTACTTAGTCTAAGGGAGCACGTACGGGAGTCCAATGTACAAAAACTAGCCATGCCAAAGATAGAAGGAAATCAGCTGGATTGGAGGATCATTAGTAACATGGTGGAAGTAATCTTTCAAGATTCCGGAGTTCAAATACTGGTCTGCAGCCATTCGCCCAGTGCCCAGGTTACAGCGAAGACAGTGACTTGATACTTCCATGAAACTGGAAATTGTAAAAGAGGGTTCAGTTGCAGATACAACCATTCCATTTTAGTTTCGTAAGAGTTCCAGGAAGAACTATCTCTTAAGGAGGGGGCAATGTAATGTGAGCCATTTCATTATTCAGTCATGCTCTAATACTCCAAGTCCCTCTCTGTATTATTTGGCCTTTGAGGCTCAACTTGTCCGATTATTATACATAATTAAACCCCTTAAGACCAAACCTATGTGACGACTATGGTGGAAACACTTTCGCGAACATTCCTGACTCAACGAGATACTATTTATAGTCTAAATATAACGTGATAACGTTTCTGGTAAATTCTGGTAATTTTGGTGGAGGAACGTTCTAGACCACCAATTTGTATATAAATATTGGTGGATGAGCCATCAGAATCAGTTATTATATGGACAGTGAAGATAAATAGTAATTAGTTGATAGACAGTGGTGAATATAAATAGTGAACGATTCAAAGACATTCGAAGTATATACATATAAATTAGAATAGTTGTATTATAAAATAAATAAGTATTTAAATAAATTATTAATAAATAAACTGTTGTTTTAAAGTAAACAAACATCACAATATTCAGAAAACTTTGGAGGCGTTTTCTGGAAAATCATTATAGTTGACTTATCTCGATAGATTTATAGATTCAACACAGAATTGTCACTTATTTAAAATTTTAAAAATAATAGTATTTGGGTGTCCAAAATATGAACTGTGATTGGTGAATTTAATTTTTTGCAGTGTTCTCACTAACTGGAATATATATGAAATATATTCGTTCAGTTGAACGCAATAGCATACTTTTTCGTTTTGCAATCTGTGCGTAGATGAGCTAATATCCATGCGAGGGTGTAGAAAAACATATAAACGTTATTACCTTACTTTAATATGTTAAATTGCTTTCATTTATTTTATTTATCAATATTTGATTATATTTTTTTAAAGCTATCAAATTTAAATACGACGAACTAGTATGATGTAAAATGTAAATTTTAGCGTTCTCATTTCAGTTTCGTCAACTATACATATCTGCAAATTTCTTTTCCAGTATAGCAATATTAGCATAATAACCCTGGTGACAGACAAAAAAAATAATTTAGGATAGTTTTTACAACTTGTTTTTTTTTAAATCAGTGATATCACACTTTTTGATTTATTCTAAGGATCAAAACTTGATTCCCTATCATTCCTAATGACGACGAGCAAATCATATGTTTTATCTGCCACCAGTTATTGAGGGATATTGAAAAAAAAATGTTTAAAAATATACATTACCGTTTCTAATATTGGTCTCACTTCAAGTGGTATTATACTGTAATCGAATTTTTCGATCAAGCCAATAACTTCAGAATACTTTATAAAAGTCACACTGGAGGTATCTTCGTATTTTCTGAAGGAATCTATGATTTTTATCATTTGCTCTTGTGAGGCACTATCCTCCCCATTTATTACTATGATATCAAAAATTCTCTTCGGACAATATTTTCTAATTTCTAATTCCATAAATTCTAAGTCGACTTCCGTATCAGCCGCCAAAAATGTGCGTCTTTCGCGTCTTTTCCTGCTGGTATCAGACGCTAAAAAATAAACACATTTATAATAGGTGAAATTATTTGAAGCCCTTTCTAAAATTGCTGATAATGTTTTAAGGCAAATTCACGGTTCCTAAACTAATAAGATGGCCTCTTCCCGTTGACAGGGAATGGGAGTAGGAGTGATACGTCACAAAAGTCCACAACAAAGTATTGTTATTGTATGATCGTTAGATTTTTAAAATATCTGCGATGTGAGTATTGTGCGTCAAATAAATAAAAAAGCCCTGATACTATATAATAAATAATTTTTAAAAATGTCTAAATCTTATTGAAATAAACTACGAAACTGAAGAATAATTACAATAATGCCCAGCTCGTAATAGAGGCAGGTCATTTTCCACACTCGACGGCACTATGAAACCCAAAATAGCCCTTTTACGTTTACAATTTTGTATATTTTCGAGTTCCAAAGTTCCACTTTTTTGAAAAAATATTTTAAGATCAGATGTAAAGAAAAATAAGACTTCGAGAAACGGCGGATTAGAAGTTAAATTTTGCAATATAGGTACTACGTCTTGGGTACAAACGCATTTATTGGGGCAGTAACATACTCAGAAACAGCCCTGGATATATTCAAAGTACGCAATATTTTGTACCGGAGATAAGCCAATCACCCCATTATGCGAAAGAATGCCTTACCTTTATCAACATCCGCGTTTACTTTGAATTCTTTATCTTTGTTCATTTTTATTGTGTACCTACCAAATAAAATATATATCCTTATATATTTTTAGTATTATTTAGATCAAAACATACGTACATACAATATATTCATTACCTTTTCGAGTTGCAGCCATCTCTAAAATAGTATGCAAATAATAAACAGCATTAAAAAATAATTATTTTTTTAGAAATTATGACAATTACGATTGACGTTACCTAACTATTTGCTTGTAATCAGGGAGGTCGGAAGGGGAGGACATGACAACACGTGAAATAGGTAGTACCACTCAACGACTTAGACTAGGTAATAAAGAGAGGACGCCTAACAAGTATATCGAGCACACGTAGTATTCTGTGCCGATTATCTATTGGCCGCCATTATTTTGGTGCTAATCATTTCGGTGACACCAAAGTTTTTGTTCGTGTTTATTTCTAATTTTTGAAATTAACGACATCTAATAATTGGTTTATTACAATGGTTTTTTGTGTGGCATATCAGTGTTAAAGTTATAGCGGCAAGAAATAAGCAGATATTACGTTTTACAGGTAAATGATAAACATCAATCGTTTTTACTTTATATATATTTTCTTATATTTTTCATTTTATTTGGTGTTATAGATAATTATATCACAAACAACTTTTATTTAAACAATTTTCATAAAAATTTGATTTTTTTACATTTTGTCAAATTTTTCGAATATGGACCATTTTAGAAATTTTTTTTATAAAACAAAAATTATAAAGACTAATATAAGAAGAATTCTCTTCTCCAAACGTAAATAACAGATATATTTCATAAAATATAAAAATGACTTCCTATAAGTATTAAGTACCCTCCAGATGTTCCGACTCTGCCCAAAATCTAATCAGTTCACCGCAAGCCAGAATATACACGCACACAGAGATTAGGGACATAAAGATTGGAAACGCAACGACCGCAGCAACGATGGCGTCATCTAGCGTCTCAGATGTTAACTACAGGTCTACGTCGTTTGTAGAGAGACCATTGTTGCCAAATATTTTTTTTGAGAGATCGTACAAGTATAGGGACCGTGCATCATGACTTTATCGCTAACTGGTGACAAAAATGTGAACTTTATGGGGGGTATTTATTAATGTTTTATACGGCATTTATTGTTTAATAATTATTAATAAAATGAAGTAGAATTATTTTCGTAATATCAATATCGAAAAAACTTGTTGCATCCGTGGATGTACAAACACATCACTTTGGAAACCTGGATTTCATTCGATAGTAAAGAAATTTTATAAATTTCCACAGAGCACAATTATGCCTCACACCCAATGATATACATAATTACAAAGATTGTTTATCCATATGTAAATCAGACGACGAAAAGCGTATTTCACTGGGCAAAGTTTTCTTTTTATCTAGCTTGTATCAGTTTTGAGCACTTAGTTGTAAAGAAATCATTTACAGAACCGGTTTAGAAATTAGAATCTTTAGTGTTTTTTTGTCATTAAGATTTTTACATATTTAAATGAACATTTTATATAAATATAATTTTACAGATAATGGTTTATTCTGTTGATTAAAACTAATGAAATGAGAATGACCAATTTGACAAAAATATCACGGCCCTCTTTACAATTTATTAACTATTTCTCATTTATTCTTAAAATAAACAAATCATAAATAATACATTGCAATTACTGTCAAAAGAGATTGTAACAAACTTGAAAATATTAAAAATCCAGTGATTTTTTGTAATTTTTTTAGTGACATTACCATTAAACATTATTCAGAATAATAGATAAGTGTCCAATTACAACTCTTACCAAAGTTGTTTATACCTCATATCAAAATTGTATTACATATTGCAATTATATATTTTATGTAGAATTGTTTCTGAAATAGTAGTCTAAAATTATTTATATCCATCTGTTATAAAAATTTTTTAGATCTCTTAATATTATTTAACTACATGAAAACTTTCCAAATACATAATGACATGTCTTGAAGTAAAACTTTAATTATTTTCTTTTTCTAAAGATTAAAATGCTGAAATTTTATTTCAAAACACATTTGGGCTAGAACGGCTCTATTTAGTGAGCACTAGGAAAGGCACATTGCAACCCGCTTTTCATAATTTTTTTATAGATGGGTGAGCAATCTATAATATGTATCATTGAACATCTCATAAACGTCAGTGGATGAATGATATTTCGATTAACATAAAGCTACATAAAAAGATTTATAATTATTATTATCAATCTTTTTTATTAATTTACATTTTTTAAATGTTATTGTAATACTATTAAATTCAGTGTTACTAAATACCGATATTTTAACATTGGATACACTTGTTTAAGGTACAACTTTACAATTTATTGTCACTTAGCCATTTAAATCTTTTTGCTTAAAATGTATATGCATGTCTAGATTTTAATAATGTTTCACATTTTACGTCACCATGTACGACCATGTACACGATAGTTTGGTACGGGCCGGTATCTATTTTTAACTATATTTAATATTTAAAAAAATACCCTTTATTATTTACTTGCAATGTTTACCCCATTTAATTCTAAAATTAAACACTAGAGAGGGCTAAGTTCGGCACGGTCCCTATAGTAGAAAAATGGTATTTCGACAAAAAAAATGTACAATAGATACATGCATAGCATAATATAACTTAAGGACAGCGTCTCCTAGGAATTTCTGAACAAAATTATGTCAATTTAGATTCAATCAAGGAGGTGCTGTTACCTACCGACTAGAGATTGAATTAGTGCAAATATTACAGAAATCTTTAAGTAACTATAAATATCGACCGACTAGCTATTAGGGGATATTGTATTATAAACCGGTTTTTAGTAGACTGAGTTCGAAGGATCATAATAATAGTCCTGAACATAAACCTATTTTTCAATAATTGCCGGGATTTTACCAAATAAAAAAAAAATATTTCGCGATTGTGAAAACGGTCCAATCGTTTTACATGCCATTTATAATATTATAAAAATGTTAACTCTAGGACTCATTTTGAAGTATGAGCATACTTTATTTCAATACTTTTATTGTACTGTTTCATAAAGTATTACCTACCTTGACTTTGTTTCCTGGACCAAAATAAAGAATGTAGGTAGGTATGCAGATGCAAAAACGATATCTTGCCTCACATTAAATATAAATATTTCCTAAAACAAATAATTTGGTTTATATACGAGTAGTAATACGAGGGATGTTTATAATTTCAAGTCACGAATATAGAGTCGTTTCAAAATATATTGCCACAATAGTTGCGTCACATTGAGTCGGAGTGAAACGCTTGACGTGTCGCAATTCGCAATATATTTTAAAACTATTCTACCTAATTAATAAATTGTGATTTTGAAGTATCGAATGAAAACTATATTCTCATTGGTTAAAGATGGAAGTTTTTATCATTTGAATGTTCAAGAATATTAATTGTGATTAATTGGTTAAATACCGAAGTTATCTGTTATCTGATGTTGGTACTAACCTAATGTTTTTGGGTAATTTTGACGGTCATTTCCTGGAATTTCCAGGCCCGCATAAATATTTATCCTATTAAAGTACAAAAACCCTACAATAGATATTATGAGTAGGTATTTAACATTCATTTATCTTATCTTGTCTTAGGTAGTTATTACCTAGAAACATTTCCCTGATTGTCAATAACACATTACCGTATATCTGTGCCAATATGACGTCCCGACTTTTAATATACTTAATGAAGGCTGGGGGAAGGAGTTAAGAGTCTATAAATTTACAAACAAGCTTACGGGTATTTAGTTTTCAAAATTACATCACACGTTTCTGAAGTGTTTTATTGTGCTGTTTGTTTTTAATAAGTGTTATTTTCTTTAATAGAAAATTGATTTATTTGTGCCAAGTGTCCTAGTGAGTTTCATTGTACATTTTAATCAGTTTTATTTTTAGATAAATTGACATCGACTTCCTGCATTAAAGGTAGGTAGTATTTTTTTCTATCACTCTCGAGTTCGTCATTGAATAAAAAAATTAAACGCTATAATTTTAACATTCAAATATTTGCAATTAAAAAATAATATTACGTATTAAATTTGACAATAAAAAAACTTGTTATTTAATAATAATGTTTCATTATTCTGAATATATTTTTTCTACGATCAATATCCAAAGTAGGTAGGCTTTTGCACATTAAAATCTAAATAAAAAGTTGACGTTTTCTGCGAATTGTCATAATGTGACATTATTGGCGCACATTACCTAATATTCAAACCCATTTCCATGCTTAAAAATTGAAGATGGTGACATTCATTTAAAAGAAAACCATAACTACTTTTACCAGGTGAAAAATTTCAATATGTTAAAATAATTCATGATTTTTAAGAAATGTGCTAGAAATGATACTACAATATTAATATTCTTTTTATGTTTGATTTTCTAATAATGATTTTATATACTTTTAGATTCAAGGACAGCTAGGTATAGCTCAAAGAAAATTGTGCTACTTTGTAGTATATACTGGAGATGAAAATCCACTATTTGTTGAAAAAATTAATTTTCAACCCATTTTTTTTTAAAATATGGTTGAAAAATTAGAAAAATTTTACTCGGAATATATGGCACCTGAGATAATTTTAAATAGAAGAGGACGAGGATTAACATGTCTTGATACCCCATATAATGAAACTTAAAGTGCAAAGATTAGCAAATTTATAAAAATAATAATTTAATGGACTTTAATGATACAAGTACTTGAAATAATGGTTTTTTTTTGCGCAGAAGCATGTTCATACGTAATTTGCAATTGGTAATCACTAAACACAGATGGAAAAGTATATACGTCAACGATATGTTCTCTTATTTTTGATTTATTTTAACAGGTATAATATATGGTATGTTACTTATAGTATAGATTTTTTTATTTCTCGACCTAATTTATTTGTTACGTCTTCAGCAATTGTCGCTTTCAGTTGACATAAACGAAATTGATAAAAAGTGTTTTTCGCATTTTATTTTGACTGTTTCTCTTACTTTCGAATTAGGCATTCCAAACTGAA